ATATATATATATATATATATATATATATATATATATATATATATATATATAAAACATTATTAACATTGTTTTATATCGCCTTAAAGACTGTGGTTAAGTAAATATATTATTACATATATATTACCCGCTAAATAAATATATATATTTATAAATATATTCTTTATTTCTTAGATATTTTTTCTCTCATTGTAAGTACCTGATTTGATACTACTCACCTACTGAATATTCTCATGATTTCATGTAATTCGTCTTTTACGTCACGTACTACTTGCTTTCTCAACTCCTATTTTTCTCTTTCGATATCCATATCTTCTCCTTTCGGCAAGATTACCCTGTTTCTTTCTCTTCCTCCCTTTTCTTCAACGTATAAACGAATTCTCAGGGGCGTCGAAATGATGTACGCCAGCCCGACATAAACTCGATTTCGCTCTTGCCGATCTTGGTTTCTCGCGAACGCAATTTATTGCGTCCGATAAAGTATATCGCGTTTGTCGTTGCATGAGTTTTGTCGGGATAAATTTGACTCTCATTACGAGATATGGAACGCTCTGCGTTTAATATAATCTTAAAGCAAAAATTTGTAATATTTCCATCATGATGACGTTGTATATAAATCCATCAATTTTTCAACAATTATTCAATTCGTAAGAATCTTATGTTGTCAAATTTAGATTATTACATGGAGAGAAAATATATATATTATAGTTTTTTTATTATATAAATTATGTTCTATTTTACTATATTTTTTTATATAATAATGCAGAAACTTAGACTTTCTCACGATTCTCACGACGTGAAACAACCGATGATGGAAATTTCACAATTTCTGCAATTACATTTATAAAATAAACACACTGTACTAGAATCATTAATTCTCTGCGTATGATGTTGGATTTATGAACCCGCACAAATATTCAGTTGCTCATCAACTTTAATGTAAAGAGTCCGGGGAAATCTCAAATAATCTCAAATAATTTGTTTACAGGTTTTGATTTTATTGCGCTACAGCTGGAATTTTTTTATATCTCTACAAAAAACATGTAAAAATATTAATTTTCAACAAAATTATGGTAGTTTAAAGTTGACCGAGTTTGACAGACCTAAATTGTACTGCATGTCTAAAAAATATGATTGTATATGGTTGGTTAAGTTTACATACAATAATGTAACTATTTTATTATATTGTTGCAGTTACAAACTTACTAAAAGTTACATTCTAATTTTGACATTATATTTTGTATGAAATTAACTTGATTTAAAGAAAATCTAAATTTTTCAAAATACTTCAAAATAATATAAAACAATAAAACACATTTGTTTTAATAATAATAAATAATAATACAATAATAATAAATAATAATGTGTATATATAATAAATAATAAATAATGTGTATATATAATATATAATGTAACAATAATATATAAAATACTTTTATTTTAATATTACATAATGAAATGTTTTGCATGGTATATATATTATCAACAAATTATAATAATTCTTTTCGTATTTCTTTCATATTTCTATATCATTATATTAGATAATTATGAGTCTTATATGAACTACTTGTATAAGAAATGTAATCTCTACAAATCGTGTAACAAAGTTACTATCAAATTTACATACCCCTTTATCAGGGCAATATTCGAGTTATCAAATCTACTCAGATAAATTTTCATGATTACCACGATGTGAGACAATCAATAATGGAAATTTTACAATTTTTTAAATTACATTTATGAAGTAAATATACTGTGCAAATTAATTATTAAATTTATATCATATAACGATGCAGCAATAAATTAGTAAAACGACAAATAGTAAAAGTTGCACACAGATTTTCATA